GGACAGGTTCTACAAGGAATCGAAGACAGTAGGGGCAGCGGCGAGCAGGGGACAGAGAGGGACATTCCAGACAGAGGGACCCAGAGGTGCCACTCCAGGATAGGTAGGGGCCTGCAATCCCACCTCTCCCAGAGCTGGGGGGTGAGGGAGCTGGATCATGAGGGACGGGCGAGAGGTCAAGGTTCACCACCCAGAGGGTTTTAAGAGTGATGTGTGGGCACTTGACGGGGACTGGGAGAAAGCAGAAAAGCTGAACGTCCAGTCCGTGCCATGATTCTTTAATAGCATTGTACAGAGTGACCTGCAAGACAGCATCGCGTCGGGAAATATTTGGGGAAGAGTTAGAAATTAATGATGACTGCGCAAAGGAGAATTAGTGCTTATCTGAGACAGGGCTGATCCGTGGAGACACATGCTCAGACTCAGCTCGTTAGGTGTAGTTTCCCTCCCTCCCTCCCTTCCTCCCTCTCTCTCCCTTACTTCCCATTCCTTGTTTTTGAGAAGCAGAGACAGGCACCAAGTTCACTGGTTCACTCCCCAAATGCCCACAATGGCAGGGGCTGAGTTGGGCCAAAGCCAAGTGCCAGGAACTCAAACCCAGGTCTCCCCCATGGGTGGCAGGGACCCAAGTACTTGAGCCGTCACTGCTGCCTCCCAGGGTGCACATTAGCAGATATGCTGGAGTTGGGGAGCAGAGTGGGGGATCGAACCCAGGCACTCATGAGGGGAGCTGGCGGCTCAACTGCTAGGCTAAGCACCTGCCCTCCGTTTGATATATTCTGAATCAGAACAAGGGTCTTGCAATAAGAAAAAGATAAAACACACCCTAGAGGGGCATTCTCCCAGCCTCAAGGCAATAGGAATACATATTCACGTAGTGCCTAGCTTTCCTGGTGGGTGTGTCATCAGACCCTTGCTCTCTCCATTGGCTGAGCTGGAAAATGAAATCCAGTGCAAGTTGTCCCCAGGGCCCGGGATCCTGTTTCCCTCGGTGTGCACTGGTCCCTTGAAGAACGTGCTGGGCCTCAAGCTTGCCCCTCCCGCCACGTGGCCAGATGGACCCGGAGCCGGCAGCCCAGGGAACACAGGGCTCTGGGTTCGCAAGGGACAGAGAGGACCAGCTCCCCTGCTGACGCCCAGCGTTTAGATCACGTCATTAGGATCACACATTCATAGTGTGGCCCGAAAGAGAACCCCAGCTGATGTGCTCAGCAGATGTTTGCAGGAGCGCAACCAAGCCCCGCCCCCACCTACACACACACACACACACACACACACACCCCAACTTGGAACACTGAAATTGATTAGAAAGACGGGGGCGGGGGGATGCTGACGTCATGACGTCACATGCTAATCCGCATTCCCAGTGAAGCACACTCCTTATACCAGTGGTACACACCATGGTGCTAACAGATAAAGTTCATGTTTTTGAAAGCTTGGAATTGGTCGGCGCCGCGGCTCACTAGGCTAATCCTCCACCTTGCGGTGCCGGCACACCGGGTTCTAGTCCCAGTCGGGGCGCCGGATTCTGTCCCGGTTGCCCCTCTTCCAGGCCAGCTCTCTGCTGTGGCCAGGGAGTGCAGTGGAGGATGGCCCAGGTGCTTGGGCCCTGCACCCCATGGGAGACCAGGAGAAGCACCTGGCTCCTGCCTTCGGATCAGCGCGGGCCGGCCATTGGAGGATGAACCAACGGCAAAGGAAGACCTTTCTCTCTGTCTCTCTCTCTCTCTCACTGTCCACTCTGCCTGTCAAAAAAAAAAAAAAAGTAAAGAAACTCCACTTGGATTCAAATTTGCAAATTCGAAATATGGGGCAATTCTGCAAAGACTGGATTATAATATGGGGCACGGGGCAGGTACCTTAGAAGCTTGTGGAGAACAGGCCGCAAAGAGAAGTCGATTTTGGTGCAGGGCAACGAGATTCCCATGCATGAAGAAGTCTTCTAAAAGTTCATGGAAGACGTGTGCTTTGAAAAAAATTATGCATGGAACTCAAAATATTCCGTACTCCAATGAACTTCATGTTTTCATGCCGTTTTTCCCTCAGCAGTGTGCACTGCATCACAATTGTGGCAAAAGGGTTTGCTCATTTATTTGGAAGGCATCTCTTGTGTTGGGCACGAATGCACACTGAGAACAGGCTGGGATGCCAGACAGCCTGGGGTGGGGCGGGGCGGGGCGGGGCCGGGGGAGCTGCCACAGGGAGGCACCCAGGCTCAACAGGAGAGCCAGGCAACAAGCCACCAGGTTGATACTTAATTGCACTGCTGCTAAGTGCCGCAGGGGAGGTGGAGAAGTATGCAACAGAGACACTCCAGAGAGCTTGAGGAAGCTGCCTTGCTGAAGGGATCCGAGCCCGGGGCTCTGAAGCATGTGTAGGAGTTAACCAGGTATCAGGCAAAAGATCCCCTGCAGGAGGAATGACACGTGTAAAGGGCCTGAGGCCGGAAGCTGCCTGGGGAAAAAAAAAAAAAGACCAGGAGGGCTGGAAAGGCAGCCGTGTTGGGGAGAGCAGCCCAGGATGCTGATGGGAAAAGAGAGGCTCCTTGCACAGGGCTGACTGTCATCTGTGAAAGCCAGGAAGCCACCCAGGGGCTCCGAGCCGGAGGTGCAGGTGCACAGATTGGATGTTCAAAGCTACTTCGGCCTTTCTGAGGAAGACCTGGTGGCGCCAGCTGCAGGGGAGTCCACCACCGGCTCCTCTTCCCCCCAACTCGGCCCCATCACTGTCGCCTAAGTACAGCCATGGGTTTGAAAGAGGCCGGAAAGACGCCCAGGGAACCAGACCGAGGTGGCGATCCACCAAATCAGAGTCCCCCTGCCCCACGGCAGCGGAAGCCCCCACAGACGCCAAGGAAAGGGATCTTGAAGGCCAGGGCCCCTCTCGGATGCCCACCAAGGCTTCGCGACTCACTCCAAGAAAAACATGCTATGGGGAAGGGCCTGAGACGCGGGACCTACCCGGATGGGAAGCCACCAATCACCGACTTGCACAGGGCTCCTGGGACTGTGGAGCAGGTGCTTCTGTCAGCACTGAGCCAGGGTCAAGGTGAAAGCCATGGCAGTGGATGCCCGGCCGTCAGTTGTTTTTTTAAAAAGCTACTTCGGAGTGCCAGGCAAGAGTAGCTATGGGCTTCTCAGTAGCCAGGGGAGATGTGACAGAGGGACACGGGGGGATGGGGGCACACAGGGAGCATGGAGATGCACAACTGTGGGACATGGAATGCAAGGTGGCCTGGAGGTGGAGGGAGAGGGGAAGGCAGAGATGCCCCTCACATCTCCCGCATCCCCAGAGACAGAACAGGTGCATGGGAGCCTGGGCTCTGCTTTAAACATGGGAGATGCTGGCAGCCGGAGCCAGGCTGTGGGCAGCCAGAGCTGTGGGCTGCAGCCACACAAGTGGCCTGGCCTGCACGTGCCATCTGGGTCTGGGTGCTGGCTGAGACCCCAGCGAGGGGGAAACCCTCCTGTGTCGAGACTGTTAGAGCAAGGACAAAAGAGGCTGGGGGCTGGGAGTGGAGGGGCTCCAACAGCCCAGGCCCGGGAGCTAAGGGACCGGAAGCATCCTCAACGGTGCTGCCCAAAGGTGACCCCTCCCTTCGACCTGAGGAGTGTCCTGGGAGCCAGACGCTTCAGCGGGTCAGGCCAACTGCCTTCAAACAGCGCAGTGACCCCGTAGCTTTCGCACTGTCTTCTGGAAAATTCACTTCGACAACAATGCCAGGGAGTCTCTGAGGCCGCTGGGTAGGGGAAAGCCCACCACACTGGAGTGAGAAGTCCCCCAGATGTTCACTAAACCTATGCAGCGGGTCGTTCTGCACCTGAGTCTCCCCACCTGTGGCCCCGGATGGATGCTACCCTCACACCCATATCGTCCCGAGCGCAGCTGCTGGCAGTGCCCTGGGTTAGATATTAACAGCAAGCTGAATGTTTCAAATGCCCTTGATACTGCGGGCCAGGCATGAAAAGTTCTACTATACCGATCATTTCTTTCCTGTGCCTCAGTTTCCCTTCCAGGAAAAGAAAATCCAGGGAACTGAGACAACTCGACCCAGAGCATTGCTGCAAAGGTTTGCCAAGCTTCTGGGTCTCCGTGCACAGTGCCGAGGCGTGGAAGACTGCCTTCCTGGCTCAGAGAATTTTCTAGTGAACGAGAGAAAACAACAGCCAGCCATTTCTAAGACATACGGGTTATGGTACATGAGCTGTGACAGTTCCGCCCCAGCTATGAAGAGATAAACCCAGGCTGCTGTGGGGACCCAGGCGCAGGCCATCTGCACCAGCCTGGGGACTCAGAGAGAGGCCCTCGCCGTATGGTGACAGATACGATGCACCTCGGTGACTCTCCAAAGAAATATGCTCCCCAAATTTGAGCTATTCTGAGTATTAATATTATTAATAAACTGCCTTGGACTCAATTCATAGCCAGGAGCTCCAAGCCAGGGGAGGGCTTAGGGAAACCCCAATGGTCTACATTGAAAATTTGCATGGTGGAAGCATTTTAATAAGTTTACACTGAGCACTGGGAGAATCCTCCTGGGCAGCTTTTTGGTTCTTTTAGCTGTCAAAAGAGATGCTCAAGTCTCCTGCCAACAATAAATGGGATACTACACCAGCACTTGCTGAGTGGCGTTGAGTCTGGCCGCTCCAGTTCTCTTTCCTGCAAATCCTCAGTTAGTCATTCAGTGGGAGACAAGGCCTTTGGCCATGTTTTACCAGCAGAAATAAAACCACTCATACCTGGACGGGTAATGTTAGCAATCCCAAGGATTCCTGAAGATTCCGTGGGCCGCGACACATTAGTAACTTTTGGAAGGGATGTAAATGGATGGTAGCTTGATATTCAATGTTGATTTTCAATGTGGAGTTCAAGTGCAGATTTTAAAAGAAAAACAAACCGAAAGCCAAGTGGCTCGTCGTATCACTGACATTAAAGACACTCTGTCCACTGCCCTCGTGGACCATAAGTTCCACTGAAATTATTTTTCCTCTTTTTTCTAGATGAGCCGTGATGATACGCAACACGGGCATGAGAAGTTTTAAAGCTACAGATCTCGAAACTCACTGAGGCAGGGACCTGCGGCTCCTACTTCTGTAACAGGTACGGAACCAGCCCAAGAGCCCACAGGTGGGAGCACCTGTTGCTAGCCCTAATGCGGAGGGGCGTCACTGGACATGGCGGCCAGGGTGAGGCCAGCTTTGCGGCCATCTCCACTGACGCCAGTCTTATCGCATCGAGACTGAGGACTCCCCTAAACAAAGCTAGGTGGAGGAGGCAGGGCTGGGGGGATGGGCTGTTTCTCCTTTCCCTGAGGCGGGGTGCCTTGGTTATTTCTAAACGCTCTGGATAGAGTTTGCAATGATGATGCAAAGGCCAGATAAAGCAGAGACAGGACGTGTACTAAGAGGAAATGGGAGGTCTCATAGATTCAAGGTGAAGATTTGGGGGCGGCGGGGGAGGGGAGAAGCTGGGGAAAGCGTGGGGGACCGGGCAGCCCCCTGAGCATACTGGAAACTCTGGGGCCAGGAGGGTGCCCGTGCACACGTCCACTCTGCATGACCCTGAGGAGGAACAGAACCGTCCACGGGCCTGTCCTGGGTCTCACGCCTGCACTTGGCCCAGGCACCTTGACTTTCAGCCCCCCTGAGACAGAACCTGACCAGGAGAGAAACTCCCCAAAAGGCACCAAGTGTTGTCACTCAGAGGACAGACATGGAAGCTGAGGCTTAAGAAAATAAATAAAAATAAAAAGCCAGTGCCTGCTGGTAGGAGGGTATCTTCTTGGCTGGAGCTGTTTGCCTGAGTGAGACCCTGGATATAGGTCTCCAGCTACCTTCTTGCCATGTGCAGGTGAGGTGTAGAAATCCCAGCACGACTGCCAAGATCAACAGCCCAGCGTTCACGGACACCCAGAGATGCCTTGGCTCTTAATGGGCAGGAAATGTTAACTGACGGAGGCCAAAGTCACTAACGCCCACCACCCCTGAATCCCAGAAACACAAGCTCCACGGTGGCATGGCTCAATCACAAACTCAAGGCTTTGCAGCGTCATGGAGGACCCGGCCACCCTGCCATCCCCAGCAAAGCTGGTTCCTCAGATGGCACAGGGAATGCCTTGTGTCCGGCCCCGACCCCACCCGCCCCCCCCCCCAACAAAATGCACAAGTTCAAGTTCTAGCCCCTGTGCCTCAGAGTGTGACCTTCCTCAAAAGTAGGGACCGGTGCAAGTGTCACCAGTTAGGATGACGTCATTACAATGGGCCCTCACCCTTGGGACTGGCGTCCTTATGGAAAGGGAACGTGGGACATGGAGGGAAGCAATACGGGGAGAAGTCGGCCGCCCGCAAGCCAAGGCGAGTGAGCCATCCCTGCAGACCCGCGGGACCACCCATCCAGCCGTTCACCCTGGCAGGAGCGGTTCTGCAGCCCCTGCTACGGGCGCCCTCTGCTAGGCTTCCTGTCTGCATTCAGAGCAGGGAGGGAGGGCACAGCCCCAGTGGAGACAGCGGGGAGGGCGGGACCTCTGTGTCCCTGTCGCCAAAGCAGCATCCCCAAGCCACCATGGCCGGGCAGCAGGAGGAGTGGGAGCCAGCATGGGGACGATGTAGGGTTGGTGGCCTGTCCCTGCCACCCCTGGGGCCGCCACCCTCCCTTTCAAGTGGCCTTCTCCAAGGCGTGCCCTTGCTGCTGCCACTCCCATTGTGAGTCTGGGATCTGCAGCCTGGAGACCCAGGAGGAACTGAGTCCAGACACAGCCTGGGGACAGAATTCCTTTCTCCTGGAGGGAAGCTTTGCCTTTTTTTTTTTTTTAAGCCACTCTGCTGAGGTATGATTGATATCCACCAAGCTGTGGCCATTAAATGCACACAACGTGGTGACTTTGCAAAGAAGCACACTTCCATGGTCTTGATTTCTCACTGGGTCTGTGATGAAGAAACTAAACAGAAGAGCTTCCCTCATAGGAAATGTTTGAAGCACACAGTACAGTGCTGATAACCATGGGCAGCATGTGCTACGCAGCAGGGGCCCAGGTCCTATTCTTTATTTATTTGTAAGGCAGAGAGAGAGAGAGAGGGAGGGAGAGAGAGAGAGAGAGAGAGAGAGAGAGATCTTCCATCTGCTGGTTCACTCCCCAGATGCTCAAAACAGGCAGAAGCCAAGAGCTAGGGAACTCCCTCTGTGTCTCCCACGTGGGTGGCAGGGACTTGAGCACTTGGGCCATCATGGGCTGCTTCCCAGGCAGGTTAGCAGAGCAGCTGGGACTCAAACCAGCGCTCCAATATGGGATACCTGTGGCTCCGCCTGCTGCACCACAATGTCCACCACCTTTTTAGATCAGGTTATTGGTTTGGGGAGTTTTGTTTTATTTTGTGCTTTGTTTTGTTTTTTTTTTTTCTTTGTTCTAGAGTTGTAAAAGTTCCTTAAGTATTTTGCCTATTAATCCTTTATCAGATACATGTTTGGCAAATATTTCTTCTGTTCCATGGACTGTCTTTCCATTTTGTGGATTTTTGCTGCACCAATAATAATAATAATAATAATAATACTAGGGCCCTCATGTGCATTTTTCTTTTGTGGCCTGGGACCTCGCTCGTTTTTCTCCTACGGCCACCCGCTCTTAGACAAGTCCCACCTGCATGATGGGGCACAAGCTGATTTACTCGGAGTCTACCGATTTCAAGGTTAAGCACACTTGGAAAACACCAGCACGGCAACGTGTAGGCTTTGCCAGAACTGGGTACAACAGGCTAGGCTCACAACATTGACCACCAAGGGCCCGGTGGCTCCCCTGGACCGGCAGGCAGTGCCCGTGCAGAGCTGCTCCGCTGAGTGCTCTCCTCACATCCTGTGCTTCTCTTTTGCAGAAAACAGAGAAGAAAAAAAAAAAGTGCATTTGTACCTGGTCACAGAGGAGCCTGAGTCTGTGGGCAGAGGACTGACCACACCTGACCCAAAACCACTGCCCAAAGGCGCCCGCCGGTTCACCGAGGCCATCTTCCCAGTGCCGTCGGACGATGCAGGGGAACAAGAAGTGCACGGATGGGTTCAGCGACACCTCCAGCATCGGCAGCGTGTTGGACGAGGCCGACAGGGAGGTGAGCAGCCTCACGGACCGTGCCTTCCGGAGTCTGTGCCTCTCCGAGGACCCGTTCTTCCACGACTCCGATCTGGCCCTGTCCCAGGACCCCACCGGCCAGGTGCTCGGGGCGTTCCCCCAGGGCACGGTGAGCCACACCCACAGGAAAAGTGGCATCTGGAGCCAGCTACCGGCATCGCAAGGCACGGAGCATGCGGGCTGGGCGGCCACCTTCCAGCAGCTACCCAAGTACGTGCAAGGCGAGGAGAAGTACCCCAAGAGCAGCCCCCCGCTGACTCCGGCCCAGAGGAGGCTGGAGGTGCCGGTGTCGGGCCTCAGGAGCGGCAGCAAGCCCATTTCCAAGGTCTCGTCACTCATCAAATCGTTTGACAGGCCCGAGAGCCAGCGCTGCGACAGCAGGCCGCCTCCCAGCAAGCCCCCCGTTCTGAAAACCACCCCCAAGTTCGCTCCTCTTCCAGACAGCGGAGTCAACTTCTGCTTCGATTCCGCCTTCTTAACCGTCCGCAGAGTGCCCGCCGAGGTGTCCAACACGCATCAGAACCAACCCAGCAGGAAGCACGGAGGCCAGGAGTCCCCCAAGAACCCCGACATGGCTTGTCCCGGCTCCGGCAGCTTCCTCCCAGGCGTGGACACTGTGACCAGCTCAGCCCAGTTCCCCTCCCCGCCCCACAAGCCAGCCAAGGGCGACCCGGGAGAGGCAAAGAGTGGGCTCCCAAGGGGACATTTCTACACAGTGAAAACAGTGCTTTCGAGTCATGGAACGCCCACCAACCCAAGCTCTTGGAGAGAAAGGACACCGCGGACCCCACCCCAGACACCAAGGCCCCCAAGCTTTACCAGGATGCGCCCTTGCTAAGGGAGCCCCAGCCCCCCGAGCACAAGGTGTCTCCCTGCCAAGTCCGGGCCAGCTGCGGTCAGGAAGAGAGCAGGTTAGCGGCAGGGGCTCTGTCCACGTCGGGACCCTGGGGGCTCAGGGACCCGGGATCCCAGGCGTTCGCGACGGAGGGCAAAGCTGCCAGCTCAGAGCCTGCCCCTCAGGTGAAACCCAGCCAGCCTCCCTGGAGGAAACCGAAACTTGGCAAAGGAGGGAAAGAGAGTCTACAGGACGGGCCAGAAGGGAAGCAACAGAGCCCCAGGAGGGAGCCGCTCTTGTACACAAAGCACAATCCCCAGGGGCAGTTTCCAGAACAGGAGGCTCCTGACATGCCTGGGGACCCCAGCCAGCAGTACAGCCCCCCCTTTAACATCAGTAAGCTCCTGACGCCCATCATCCCCACCAAGCATGGTCTGGACGCCTCAACCAGCCAGCCGCCGGACACAACCCCCTCCCCGCCTGGCCAGCTCAATGGCTACCAGGAGAAGGAGCCCGGCGAATGTCCCTCACGGGACAGCTACAAGTCCAAGGCCCCCAGCCTGCTGTTCAACCTCAAGGATGTACGGAAACGCGTGAAGAGCACGTACAGCCCCTCGCCTCTCCTGAAAGGGCTGGACGAGAAAAGCAGAGGGAAGGCTGACGGCCAGCAGGAGGCCCTCAATGACTTGCTGCCCCTACCCAATGGGCTCCAGGAGAGCCCACCTCATGAGCTCGCCCAGGACAGCCCCGCCGATGCCCCTCCGGCATCCTACACCGGCACCCAGCAGGACCCGGCAGCCCGCCCCAGTGAGACCTCTGCAGGCAGCTATGCAGCCCTGGGCTCGCCTCCGACTCCTGCCCAAGCCCCGTGCTGTGTCAACGGGGAGGCTGTGGAGAGGAGCTGTGATGAGAAGGTTGAAGCCGCCGAGGACGGGGAGGCAGAGGTGGGTCCCGCCAGGCCCGGCTTCCGGCCGGACTCCAGGAACCGCCGCCCCAGGAAGCACCTGTCCCTGAAGCTTACGTGTGGCTTGGAATCTGAGGCTGTGGCGGTGGAGACCCAGCAGCTGCAGAATGGGCTCCCGAGATCCATCTCCCAGGACACGGAAGCCGAGAGAGAGCTGGGGCTTCCGAACATGCACCCGATGCAGAAATTCTCCCCAGGGCCTCTGTCACCGGAGGAGGAGGACGTGTTCTACAGTGACAGCCAGTCTGATTTTACGCCTGGCTTCCAAAGCAAGGCCAAGTTCAGCACCAGTTCCTCGGATCAGTCCTTTGCTTCATTCGACGAGCCGCAGAAGCCGTGGTTTGCCGCCACCGCCGCCGAGAGCCAGCGGGACGACAGGAGGAGTGATGGGAGTGCAGGTGATGGTGAGGAGAAGGAGAAAGGGGATGTGGGGGGCAGTGAGGCCCAGCCTCAGGCCGCCGCCGCCGCCGGGAACCGGAAGGAGTGTGTGCAAGAGCACAGGCAGAGGGAAGCGTTGTTGCAGAGAGAAGGGGAGAGACTGCCTGCAGGGAGACAGAGGGAGGCATCCACAGAGGAAGTGGATTTCAGAGGCTCTCAGCCCGAGGTGGTGAGGGACAAGGCCCCAGTGCACGCCAAAGACCCCATCCCCTCGCCACCTTCTGTGGCCAACAAGCACATACTGTTTGCCATCAAAGACAACACGCTCAGGGCCACCCCGGTCATCAAGCCGGTAATGCTGCCTCTCCTGAGGGCCATGTCCTCCGAGGGCTCGCTCAGTGGCAGCCACAAAGGGGACGACTCACCCAGGCCAGCGTGGGCTGAGGACGCCCAGCTGGGTGCCCCGGAGAGCCAGGGTAGGCGTGGCAACTGCACCCCTACTGACGAGTGGGGCACCCACCTGAAGCCCGGCGCCTCCCACGGCCTGGAGGACCAGGACACAGCACAGCAGCCCAGGGCGGCCAGCATGGAGGCCTCTCAGCCAGCGCACGAAGAGCTTTTCCCAGATCTGCCACTGGTGGGAGAAGGGGACAGGCGGAAGGTCCCCCTAGAGGTAGCCCGCAAAGCGTCCTGGAGCAAGAGTAGGTCCGCCATGCCCTGGGAAATCCCTACCATAGCTTTACCGGACAGCGACAGCGACCAGGCAACTCAGCCTCGCCCACAGCCGCCGGGCACCTGCTGGGAGGAGCAGGCGCGGGGTTTCCAGGGCCACTTTTTGGCTGCACCCAGAGCAGGGCCCCCAGGGAGAAGACTGCACCCCGGGGAGGCGGCGGCAGTGGCGGCTTCCCCAAACCCCAGCTCCCTGGAGGAGGGCAGTGCGTACTCCCCCGCAGCCAGTAGCCTTTGGGACGACACTTCCCAAGCCCCCAGCGAACCGGCGGACGAGCCCCCGCGAGCCAGCCCCTGGGCCGGCCCTGGCCAGGCCAGGGTCACGCGGCGCGAGGACCTGACGCACGCCCTGGTGTGGGAGACGGACGGCTCCGATCCCCAATTCGAAGGGGCCTCGGAAGATCTCCGGACGCTGTCTCCGAGAGGCGCACTGCGGGACGCCTTCCCTAGCCCCGCGGGCCCCCCGGAGAAGCCCGAGTCTCCTGTTCAGCCGCCGCCGCCGCCACCACCACCACCACCGCCGGAGAGGGCGGCCGGCAAGCCTCCCGCAGTCCCACCCAAAACGGAGAAGGCCCTGCGGCGCGCCAAGAAGCTGGCCAGCAAGCGGCGCAAGAGCGAACAGGTGCGGGAGAAGCCGGCCGAGCCCGGGGACGCCACGCCCGGCGCCACCGCTGAGGACTGGGCACGGGCGGAGCGCAGGCCGCCGTCCCCGGGAGACGCGCCCCGGCCGCGCTGCGCCGCGCTGCGCTCGCTGCCGCCTCCCGCGCACCGCCACTCGGTGTCCGGCTTCCCGGAGCCCGTGGGGAGGTGGCCCGGGGGCCCCCAGGCGCTCACACCCCTGCCCCCGTACCCCGCTACCCAGAAGGTCCTCCAAGACCCACAGTCCGGGGAGTATTTTGTCTTCGATTTGCCGCTGCAGGTGAAGATCAAGACCTTCTACGACCCCGAGACGGGCAACTACGTCAGGGTCCCGATCCAGGCCTCCGACGGGGGCTCCCCGGAGCCGCCCCCGGCCGACGCCCTGGCGGCCCCGTACGTCCTGTACCCGAGCTGCCGGCCGGTGCCCGTGACCGCCCTGAGGCCGCTGCGCTGCTCCTCCCAGCTGGCCGCCCCCACCTTCCTGCGGCAGGCACCCCGCGCCCTCGAGGGCTCCCGCGCGCGGCCCCAGAGCGCCCACGACGTGGGACTGCAGCTGAGCGCCGGACCCCGGAGCGAGCCCGCCCCGCAAGCCGCCACTGCCGCCCAACGCCCCCGGGGGCTGCCCAGGAGCCCGGTCGGGGCAGGCGCGGAAGCGCCGGACCTGGGCATCATTTCCACCGATGACCTGGAGGACTTCGCCACCGAGGGCATTTCTTGAGGGTCGCGGGAGCCTGACCCCACCCCACCCCCCCCCCACCAGAGCTTAAGGCCCCTTCCCCCAGAGCCGCCCACGAGTGCACCCGAGACATCAGTAGGCCCCAGGCATTCGCCACCAGCAGGTGCAGGTCCTGAGGCAGCCGGGCCTCTGAGGGAGGGGGCTGCTTGCATAGCCTGGACTCTCTGGCCTCCTTGGCGATCCAGCCCCCTCACTTCCTCTGCCCCGCCACTAGCATGGGTGGGTCACAGGACAGTGGGGCTCTAAGGGTGCACTAATGCTGCACCCAACCTGCCCGCTCCCAGATCGGAGAGGCCCCCAGAAATGCTGAGCCCTGCTCTGGGCCCCAAGCACCCTACGAGGCCACACACCACACCACCCCGACCCCCGCCTCCTGCCAGGGGCCAGGCAGCACAGGGGTCCTGAAGCTCCAGGACCTAGCCAAGGCCATGTCCCAGATATGATGAGCTTAGAACGGGTTTACTTCACCAGGGAAAATTTGTCTCCAGAAGCTTCTCCCCCATCAAAAGGAGGCCACCTTTTACAAAGTGAAACAAGTTTGCAGATGCAGTTCTGTCCTGTCTTTCTGTGAGCAGTGGGGGGGGTGGGGGGTGGGTTATGGGGCAGGGGATCTCCGCCAGGAAGGAGAAAGGGAGACCCTCAAAGATGGCCCAGGGAAACTGAGTCAGGCCCTGGCTGCGCCAGTGTAGTGAGCGGTACCTGCCCCAGCCTCCGGGGATGCAGAGAAAGCATCTGAATGGGGGGGGGGGGCATGTGTCACCGCCCCTTTGAGAGTCTCAGAGCAGGTGCACAGGCAGGTGCACTGGGGTGGGGTAGCCGTGCCGAAGCCGCTTCATTCCTGTTCTGGGAAAGACCCACTCCCTTGTTTATGTGGGGACTGTGGAGCCCCGAGCATCAGGGGACTGTGCAAAACGCCCGGACTGCTCTGCTTGCCAGGTCAGCCCACGCCGCCACTGAGAGATGCCGATTGCAGACTTGCATGCATTCGGGGCCTCTGAGCTGATTCGGAATTGTGATTTGGGGTCAGGGTCGTTCACCTGTTTGCTTTCTCAACAGGTACAGCCATACTTGAATTTCGTTATGACAATGCTGCACAAACCCCCACCCCATCCCAGTGCTCTGAATTTGGCTACCTCTGGGTTGCCAGCCAGGTGAGCAGCTGTGAGAGCAGGCATGCCGTTGTCCTGCAAATCTGACTGCGTGCGAGGAGAGCAAAGTCCTGCCTTGATGCCACCCCCACATCGAGGTCCCCTCCGCTTTTGTCATCTTCCTAAAACAAGAAAAAGCATGCCTCTCTAACATCGGCAGCACCCTCACCTCAATGACAACCGTGGTGACAGCAACTGTGTCCCCACAAGGAAAACCGTGACTTTGGGGCATTTATTTGCCTCTGTCTTAGATGTAGCGCTGGCGGGACTGTGGGTGGAGCTAAAGCCCCAGGGACAGGTGTGTGGAGAGCAGTCCCCTTGGCTGGGCTCTGGCAGCTTGCAGCATCGAGGGAGTCCAGCCAGAAGGAAGCCCTCGCTTGCTCACTGCAAAGCGCCCGGGATCCCGGAAGCAGAAGCCTCCAGGGGACAGAACTGACAGTCACTAGCTGAGGACAGCTCCTTGGCCAGGGATGGCTGCTCTCTGTTCGACTCTAAGAGAAGCCATTTGTGCCTCCTTCCCTTCCCCCTTTTTCTTTCTTCTGTCTCTCCTCCCCCCAACCTCTCTCTCATTCCCCCTCCTCTTCTTCTCTTCCTTCCAGCCTCCTCTCTCTCTGTCTCTTTCTCTTTCTTTAGATTTATGTATTTATTTGAAAGGCAGAATTCCAGAGATAGGAAGAGAGAGAGAGAGAGAGAGAGAGAGAGAGAGAGAAATTGAGAGGGAGAGAGAGAGATCTTCCATCCAATGGTTTACTCCCCAAATGGCCAGGGCTGGGCTAATCCAAAGCCAGGAGTCAGGAGCTTCTTCCAGGTCTACCACATGGGTGTGGTGGCCCAAATACTTGGGCCATCCTCTACTGCTTTCCCAGGTGCATTAGCAGGGAGCGAATCAGAAGTGGAGCAGCTGGGACTTAAACCGGCATCCACATGGGATGCAGGTGGCAGATTTACCCACTGCACCACAGCGCCTGCACCACAGCACCAGCCCCACCCTCTCTTTTACAAACAGTTGCACTGTGCCAGGCACTTTGATGGGTGCTAAAGACACCAGAACTATGGAATCTGGTCTCTGCACTCAAGACACTAAACTCTAACAGAGGAGAAAGAGAGCCACGTGTTAGCCATTGCCTAGGTTGCTCTGAGCGGCTCCTAGCTCCTGCTGGAAGGAAGAGGGGCTTCCTCTGGGAGATGGGGCATGACTTGTCAGCCAACACCAACTGATACGTCAGCTTATGAGAAAAGCAGGCTTCTCCCAGCCCTAGTCATCGATCACAGATGGCGTCGATTAGATGCCGATAGATTTGCCTTACTGTATCAAGGTGCATTGATCTAGCAAATTGTTCTCGAACGTTTCCAAGCAGCAAGAGCTGAGGCAGTGCAGCTCCTCTCTCAGGATAAGACCTTTCTTGATATGCTCCCTTCGGCTTTTGGGCCGACATGTCACTCATCTGACTTGCTCAGAAAAAACACTGCATCTACCATTGTGTTATAGGACGGTGGTGAGAATTATGAAAACATAATTTCTGGAAACTGTGGGTGTCTCTCACATCTTCTTCTGGACACTGACCCTTTGTTTTTCAATGAGTCAGGGCCTCTCTCGGTGTCTCCTGGGGAGGGCACAGACATGTGAAGCATCTCAAAGGCACAAGCAAAGGTCCTGGGGCTGGTCAGCCAAAAATGACCAGGAGCTCCCATTGTGCAGACTGTGCCTGAGATGGGGGTGCTGAGCCTGGGCCCAGTGAAGTTTTCCATGTTGGCACCACCGAAGGAAAGGCACGGGAACAGGATGCAGCTACCCACGGTCACACTGCCTCCCACGGAGGGCTCTGCAGGGGACGTGGGCCTCTCCATCTGTGGTCCCCGGCCCGGCTGCCTCACCGTCACTGGGAGTCTGTGTGAAACCTCAGTATGCATCCTCTCCCGGTGCTCTCGGCCTCTGCTTGCCTGGAGAGGACATGCAGGGGAGGCACACGCACTGGAGGTCTTCGCGGCTCCGCTGCACAATCTTGCTTGCTTGCTGGGTGCAGAGCTGCAGGGGGCGGGGCCGCGCTCAAGGTGAGCCGGGACCTCTAAAAGACTAAGAGCTGCCTGCATGCAACCTAGCAGCTCGGGCAGGTAGTGAGCTCCCCATGAGTGGAGACGTACAACAGAAACTGGCGCCCCCTTTCCTTTTTTTTTTAAAGATTTATTTATTTATTTGAAAGTCAGGGTAACACAGAGAGAGAAGGAGAGGCAGACAGAAAGAGAGGTCTTCTATCCGCTGGTTCACTCCCCAGAGGGCCACAATGGTCAGAGCTGAGCCAATCCGAAGCCAGGAGCCAGGAGCTTCTTCCAGGTCTCCCACGTGCGTGCAGGGGCCCAAGCACTTGGACCACCTTCCACTGCCTTCCCAGGTACATTAGCAGGGGGCTAGATCAGAAGTGGAGCAGCCGGGACTCGAATCGGCACCCATGTGGGATGCGGGCACTGCAGGCGGCAGCTTTAACCCACTACACCACAGCGCCAACCCCAGATCGAAAGCTTTGGACGAATGTTCAGCAGCACCGATCACTAGCGAAGTGCAAACGGGAGCCACCAGTAAGACGGTGCTATCAGAGCAAACAAGCAACAGCAACAACAGAAAAACGAACTGAGATGGCAAAGATAACTGGTATACCTTGTGCACCACTGGCCGGTCCCAGAGGCAGTCCTGGGCACCATCCCGGTGCTCTGAATTCCTTGCCCCCAATTCAAACAGGCCCCAGACTTGTCACTGCTGCTTCCCAGGGTCCTTCAATCCATCAGCCATCTGACCCCACTGTCACCCACACGCCCTGATTGCTGTCAGAGACTCCTGACTGCCCCCACTCCCAAACGACTGCCCACTGCGGTGCCCAAGGTCCTGACCCTGACCGGAACATGCTCACCTCAGGGAAGAGCTGAGCTCTAGGATCCAGTGAGCAAGGTCAGCAGGTACTGCAACCCCGGGGGCACTCATGGGAAACGGACAAGAGCAGACTGCAAACAACAGGCCAATAGGAAGCGGACCACTGAGGACCACACTTGGGACCCATAAGCAGGAGACAAGAGAAGGCAGTGAGCTTAGGGCCCCTGGAAGCAGACAAGGGAACACCAGCCGGGAGAGGGTGATGGAGGAGAAGGGAGGGAGGCTGTCACTTTATTAACTCAGCTCATGGCCTTCTCTTGTGCATCTCCTGTGCACCCTGGGGTGCCTCGCCTTGGACACACTGTCCTTCACGGGGGCTGTCCCTGACGCCCTCAGTGCTGGACATCTACCTCGGTCCACCAGCACCACGCACCTCCAGGGTGCTGTACATATCATGTGTCTCCTTTGCCCACCCGGTGGTCATTTTCTGGAGGGAGGGCTCTTGCCCGTAGGTTCTCCATGCATCTTCAGGGGCTGATGCAGATCACCAGTAAACATCGAATACACTAGGATTCTTATTTTAAAGTTGAATTGAAGCCATTACCAAAAAAAAAAAAAAAAAAAAAATTGGGAGAGCAACCAGTGCTGTTGTGACTGCATGTCCATACTTCCCGCAACAGTTTGCTCGTACAGGTGAGCCTGTACAGGTGAGCGCAGGGTCTGTGCTCCCCTGACGGCTGTGTCGTGGCAGCCGCGCAGGCTACCCCCACCCCACCCCCAGTGGGGTCTCAGGGACTGGAGGCCCAAGAACAGATGTCTTGCCGCGTAGCCCTAAGTGAGTACCGCATTTAACTAATGTTTCCTTGATGAGAGGGCCAGCCCTTGCCAGCAAAAAGAGGCCAAAAGCCTTGCCCAGCACTCAGAGCAGCGTCCAAAACTCTGATGAGAACCAAATTAGCGTTCGGTTTCGTGACCAGGAAATGATGAGTGCATTAGGCGAATTGTGTTAGGTGAGGTTGGTGATGGGGCCTGGATGCTGGTTGAGTGCCACGGGGGACCGCGCGGCAGCCCGCTGTCTTCCAGAGTCTTTTCGTCCTGTCTGGTTGCCAAACGGCGAGGCCAGGCTAAGTGGTGACGGGGGCTTCCCCTGGAAGCCGCCCGAGAAAAACCAAGGGTGCGATAGCCTTAAGGGTTCTTTTATGTCTCCTGTCTCCCGCGGTTCAGTGCACCTGTCTAATCTTAGTTCCATAGACATGGAAATAAATGTTAGCAGAGGGAAAAAATTGGCTCTAACGGACAAAGAGCACCACTACCTAAAGCCTCCACCTAGCTAGGGGTCAACCTGTGACACTGATATATGACCAAGCACAGAGGAGCGACAGAAAATTCTAGAATAACCAGAAGACATCCGACATTTGTGTATGTCAGTTTCCTGGTGAATTTTTGAGACAGGTGATTCTGGAGGCTCTTGGAAAGTCAAATCGGATGCTGCGAGATGTTTCTAGATCTAGATGTCTCCAGATGCTCTAGAAAGTTCTCCCAGCTTCCTATGAGTATGTCCTTCAGACTCCAAAACCTTGAAACCAGCTGGCCCCAGCTAAGGGCACTTGTGCAAGGAGCGCTGACCACACTGTCTGCCCAGAGGGTGTTACCTTTGCCACGGGACTGGGGAAAACCACTGCCGCTTGCACTCCACAATGTGGGGAGGTAGAAGCTTCCAGAAGCCAGGAAAATGCCCAAGTCATATTTGAATCTAATCTGAGTCTTCCGGGCTCATGAATCTCAGCTCTATGTTGCTGACCCTGAAGATGCTCTAGGCCCCGTCAAATTGTCGGTGTGACTTCCTTCTCTCTGTTAGGCAGCGACTCCAGTGAGCCAGGTGAGACAGGTGAGTCTGTCCAGGTGGTATCTGTAGATGCATCCAGGTAGGCCATTCTGAATTAAACCACGACCTTTCGGACTTTTTAAAGGGATTTTTATTTATTTGAGAGGTAGAATTACAGACAGAGAGAGGGAGAGACAGAGAGGTCTTCCATCCGCTGGTTCACTCCCCACATGGCCACAACAACCAGAGCTGGGCTGCTCCGAAGCCAGGAACTAGTAGCTTCTTTCAGGTCTCCCACGCGGGTGCAGGGACCCAAGGACTTGGGCCATCTTCTGCTGCTTTCCCAGGCCACAGCAGAGAGCTCACTCGTGTCCGTTAGAAGTGGTGGATGCACCTGTTTGCTATGAAAACGTCCCCAGCACAGCCATACCTCCCAATCTGCACTGATTGGCTCCCTCATGCAGACACGTTACTACAAATAAAATTAATAAATACACGTGGATATAATCTCGTGCATAAAAGCAAAAGATTGGTGATGGTTTCAAAAACTAAAGTAAAATGGGTCAGGTGTTTGGCCTAGCACTTAAGATGCCACAGCCGGGGATGGTGCTGTGGTGCAGCAGGTAATAGGGCCGGCATCCCATATGGGCGCCGGTTCGAGTCCCGGCTGCTCCACTTCCGATCCAGCTCTCTGCTGTGGCCTGGGAAAGCAGCAGAAGATGGCCCAGGTCCTTGGGTCCCTGCACCCATGTAGAGACCCACAAGAAGATCCTGGCTCCTGGTTTTGACCTGGCCCAGCCCTGACCATTACGGCCATGTGGGGAATGAACCAACGGAAGGAAGACCTTTCTCTCTCTTTCTCTCTCTCTTTCTCTCTCTCTTTCTCTCTCACTAACTCTAGCTGTCAAAAAAAAAAAGGAGCATCTAGAATGGGGACTATGAGGACATGACAGCCCTAAATGCGCCCCTGCTCAGAAACAGAGCTCAAAACTACAGGAGGCCAACGCAAGTCCCAGAGACACGGCATTGCGTCCCCAGCAGCCCGGCAAACGTGCGAGTTCTGACAATCCCAGGGCTGGCAAGGACAGAGTATTCTAGAACACTGCTTGTGAGAATATCAGTACAAAGAAGCGGCCTTATGTGTCTGTTGATACAGGACAAGATGCCAACATCACACAGTTTCGCTTGACGTTTGAAGGCTAAGGAATTTATCCCCACACCCTCGATCATCCCTGAGATGACTCAGAGACTCCTGTAGCCCTTGGTTGCGTGATGGCACTGGGGTAATCCGGGTCCTTGTTGGGTCTCTTGCTGATGGAAATCTGGCAGGAACCAGAGGCGGTGAGCAGAGGGGTCCACAGATGATCCAAACGCAAAACGTCTCAGCATTCAGGAAAAGATCGCGGCCGAGCGCCTCGGAGCGCCGGGAGAAGGGCTGCGAAAGCCCGCCCCGGGGAGGAATCCTCTCCACCGAGAAGCTGCTCCAAGTGTCCGTGCCCCACTCTCGATGCCTTTAAACTCCCCTAAAAGTAGGTTCTGCAGAGGATCCCAGGCAACCAAAGGACCACAACCCGGGCACGGCGTTCCGGTCTGTAAACTGGGACAAAAGTCTAAGCAGAGACATCGCCCCTTTCAAAAACTTCACTCAAAATGAGTTTTGTATCCGGCCATCTAAAACTACTCTTAAAAAAAAAAAATGATGATGAAATCATTTAAAAAAAATCATCTATTATTTTTCACTTTATGTTTCTGTGTGGGAGCAACTGTTGAAATCCATACTTGATGTATACTAAGCTGATCTTCTGTATATTAAGATAATCAAAAATGAATCTTGATGTGAATGGAAGGGGAGAGGGAGTGGGAAAGGGGAGGGTTGTGGGTGGGAGGGACGGTATGGGGGGGAAGCCATTGTAATCCATAAGTCGTACTTTGGAAATTTATATGCATTAAATAAAAGTTTAAAAAAAATTTTGAAAAAAAAAAAAAAAACTGGCCGGCGCCATGGCTCGATAGACTAATCCTCCACCTGCAGAACCGGCACACCAGGTTCTAGTCCCGGTCGGGCGCTGGATTCTGTCCCGGTTGCCCCTCTTCCAGGCCAGCTCTCTGCTGTGGCCCGGGAGTGCAGTGGAGGATGGCCCAAGTGCTTGGGCCCTGCACCCGCATGGGAGACCAGGAGAAGTACCTGGCTCCGGGCTTCAGATCAGCGCAGTGTGCCGGCCGCAGTGGCCATTGTGGGGTGAACCAACGGCAAAAAGGAAGACCTTTCTCTCTGTCTCTCTCTCTCACTGTCCAATCTGCTTGTCAAAACACACACACACACACACACAACCAAAACTGTGCTGGGGCCGCGCCATGCCTCACTTGGTCAATCCTCCGCCTGCAGGGCCGGCCTCCATATGGGCACCGGATTCTGTCCCGGTTGCCCCTCTTCCAGGCCAGCTCTCTGCTGTGGCCCGGAAAGGCAGTGGAGGATGGCCCAGGTGCTTGGGCCCTGCACCCACATGGGAGACCAGGAGAAGCACCTGGCTCCTGCCTTCGGATCGGTGTAGCTCCGGCCGTGGTGGCCATTTGGGGAGTGAACCAACGGAAAGAAGACCTTTTTCTCTGTCTCTCTCTCACTGTCTAACTTGGTCAAATAAATAAATTTTGAAAAAACTCTGCTAATTTTTAAAAAATGCCAAAAAATCCCAAAAAACACAGTGACTTAAAACACAAACCTTTCTCTTCTCAGTGTCATGGATCGAGAAAGCAGGGCTGGCTTGGGAGGCATATTCTGGCTGGAGTTTCTCAGAAAATGGGGTCTTTTTTTTAAGATTTATTCATTTATTTGAGAGGTAGAGTTACAGACAGTGAGAGGGAGAGTCAGAGAGAGAGGTCTTCCGTCCACTGGTTCACTCCCCACATGGCCTCATGAGGCTGACCTGAAGCCAGGAGCCAGGAGCTTCTTCTGGGACTCCCACATGGGTGGAGAGACCCACTACCACTATTCTGCTACTCCCCCACTCAGCAAATACTCAGAGCAGCCCTATGACGTCTGAGGCTGGGGCACAAGAGGGGAGACCACGTGAGGCATGAATGCCAAGCCGGCCCTCGGCTGCCGCAGCCCCCACCCTTCTGACCACAGCCACTGTCCCAGGACACCTTGCGAGGGGCCTGGAGCCAGAGGCACCTGCCGTGCCTTTCCTGCATTCTCCGCCCACTGGTGCTGTCTTCAGCAACTCACTCGGAAGCCACCCGTCACTCATCCACAGAGAACCTGAGCAAGGGACTGTTATTCCAGCAGGTCTCCACTCTGCCCTCCTGTGCTACAGAGAGCAGGGAAAGGTGCCGCGTCTATGTTTCTTTTCCCTGGGGGCCAGCATGGAGGAGGAGGCGGCTGGTTAGAAAGAGCAGGAAGGGAATTTTGGGGGTCTGGCCAGTCTGACCCTGCTCACCTGTGGGCAGGAACGTGCTCCTTCCCACAAAGCCCGAGGCCAACGGGCCTCACCCCTGCAGCTCTCCACATACCCTCCCCTTCAGAAAGATGCCCCGTGCCCAGGCAGCCTGCATAGAGGATGGGAACCCCACCATTAGCCTCTGCCTGGAGGCATAGCTGCCCCTATGGTGGAAGGCCAGGTGCACCTGTCCGTTCCTGGGACACGGGTTGAGCCTGCAGCCATGGGGGGTCGAGCAATGGGGGTGCCTGGGCTGCGTGGGGGCAGAGCTATCAGGTTGGCCCCGCCCCAAACACAAGCCCTGCTAAGAATCTGATAGCAGCAGGTGGGCCTGGGGAGGGGTGTTGGGGTCAGGATTCCATCAAAGTAA